AAGAGGAAAATCCAGAGCCCTTGTTTCTGTTTTACCAGAGAAAACAGCAACATCTGATTTTACCAAAGGACCGATTTTTGGCAAGAAGGGAAGGAGGTGGGCTTGGACACTAGCCTGGAGTCAGGGGCCGGCTCCGGGCCCAGGTCTGTCTCTGTGTGATTGTGGAGCTGTCTCCCTCTAGGTGACAACCTGACATGTGTGACTTGAGGGGCCAACTTCTGGGGGGCCCATACAGCAGCACAGGTGATCCCAAGCCCTGGAAGAGACCCCGATCTTTGGGCTTTTCTGGGTGGCGCAGCAGAGACCGCAGACACCACCAGGGGGCAGCAGTACCCGAGGTCTGCTCACTCACTTGCTTAAGCCACAGGTTGGTCTCCATGATCTGGTTGACTTCGTCCTAGAAGGAGAGACAGGAGTGGACGCCTGAACACAAACACCGGCTGGTTCTGGGAGAGGCTCTTCCAAGACCCGCACCCCATGCCCCAGTCGCGGCTCCCGCACTCACCACCTTCACCAGCTGGGACATGGACACCTCGAACTGGATGATGACTGGGTCGGACACATTGGCCACCGGCCGGATGATCTCGTTGTAATCCTCGAACAGCCGCTCAAACAGACGGTGCTCGGCCTCGGAGGCCAAGGCCACTGAGGGAAGGACATTCCACGTTTCCCTGCGCCAGGGACACCCCCCACCCCGGCACCCTCATCGCCTGCTGCTGCTTCCTGCTGCAGTGCCTCGAGTTACAGACTGGGAAACAGGCCCACCAGACGCATGAGGTCACGCACATCCAGGGAGACAGCATGATCACAAGCCTGGGCTGGAGTTTGGATAGATCTGGTGCAAATCCTGCCAGACTGCTTGGTAGTTGTGTTAGCTTGGGCAAGGGGTTCAACCTCTCTGAACCCGACTTCCTTTACTCAGAGAACATCTTTTTAATCTGTATCCACCCCAGAGTTGCAGCAAGTGAAGGGCTCACCAAGGACCCTACCTCCAGTGTTCACACGGGGTGGGATCCTGACCTCCAGTGTTCACATGGGGCTGGGATCTCACCTCCAGGGCTCTCACGGGGTGGGGGCCTCACTTCCAGTGTTCACACCGGGCGGGGGCCTCACCTCCAGTGTTCACACGGGGCTGGATCCTGACCTCCAGTGTTCACATGGGGCTGGGGTCTCACCTCCAGGGCTCTCACAGGGCGGGGGCCTCACTCTAGTGTTCACATGGGGCAGGGGCAGTGCAAGTCCAGTATGCTTCCATACAGCCACTCCCAGGATGGACAGATGGCCAGTGCGTTCCCAGGGCGTGCCCCACCCCCTCCCCCTCCCCCTTCTGCCTCCCAGCCTGTAGGAGGCTGCTGCCGCCCAGAACTCTGTAGGGGTTTCCCCACCAAACCTCGGGGAAGCTGGGTGTCTGTGTGGCTCCCATGATCTCGGAGTGAGACCCATGGCCAATCTCAATCTTTTCCCAGCGTGGTCAAAGTTACCTCCCTGAAAGGGGTAGGGGGATTCCCTTTGTTCCTAAGCCACACCCTAGGCGACTTGAGTCAGCCTTCTGTCCTTCCCACTGAGAGGTCTGAGGACAGCGCAGCGAGGGCAGGAGGGGAATCCTTGGGGAAGTCTAACCCAACTTGCCCGCGTCCTGAAATGGGGTCTTGCCCGCTGCCCCCTCCCAAACACATCAGAGACCGCAGGCAGGGGCTGCAGAGGAGCGCAGGGACTCGGAGTGCTGGGATCCCCAGCATCAAGGGGACAGAAACGGCGCCCCCCTGACCGACTCCCGGTGTAACCCTGATGAACCCCGGGCTCTGGGCATCTGCCCGCCCTCCCCGCCGCCCGCAGGCCCTCCGGCGCGGCGCGCTCCTCCGTGCGGCTCTGGCCAGCGGCCTCCTCCCGGAGACCCGGCACCAGGCGCAAGGCGCGGCCCGGGTCCCGGAGAGGCGGGGGGAGCGGAGGACGCGCGGGCCCCCAGCCTCCCGCGATGCCCCCCTCCCGTAGGTGGCACCGGCCTCAGTTTCCTCATCTTTTCCTAGAAGGAAGGGCTGGGCGGGAGGCAGACAATGGAACCGACGACCAGGGCGCCGACGCCCGAACCCCGGCCCTCCCGGCTCGCCCCCAGACGACTCGGGGTGGAGGGGTGGCCGGAGGGGCACCCGGGCTCCCCGACGCGGCCGGCGCCCCTTCTCTGCGCCCCCCGCCCATCCCTCCGGTCCCGCGCCCGTACCTGGCGGCAGTACCAGAAGGGACAGCAGCAGCAGCGGGAGCCCCGCGACCCCGGCTCGACGCGGATGGGCGCCCATGCTCGCGGGGAGCGCGGCCGAGACGCAGGCTGACTCCGCGGCGGCTCCCGACGCAGCCCGCCCGCGCAGAGCCGGACGCCCAGGCGCGAGGCGCGGAGCCGGACGCTGGCCCCTCCCGCCCGCGGGGCGCCGGAGGCTGGGCGGGGGCGGCGCTCGGCGGGGCGGGGCGTGCGGGGCGTGCGGGGCGTGCGCGGCCTCCCGGCCACGGGGGTCGAGCGCCCCCGGAGCGCGCAGGGATGGCGAAGAGGGGCTGGTCCGGCCCGGCGCTGGGGACCTCGGGGCGGTTGGGCCGCAGGAGAGACTCCCACACATCCTCCGAAGCGCGCGGGGTCCTGACGCCGCTGAGTAAGTGCGAAGTGTCCCAGGTGTGATGCTGGGATCGCGGGGTTCGTGTTTTCCTTATAGTTTGGGGGGGCGGAAACGGGGTCCTCCGCTCGGAGATGCTTGTCGCGAGGCGGGAGGGGGACCTGCGTGTTTGCTCGATCGCGCTCCTCACCATGGGTTTGAAATGCTCCCTGATAACAGGGAAAAGAAACTAAGGAATGAGGCTTGGAAATGGAGCTGCGGCATCTGCACCCGGGGCGTCCCCGCTGGCGGCCCTGCCCCCTCAGCACCCCCGCCCCAGCATCCAGCTCCTCTGACGACCTGCTCGCGGTGGGGGGTTGCACCTGCAAGGGAGTCATCTTTATTACTTCCAAAATGCGTCGCCTTAACCCCAAACGGAAGGAGGCATTTTGCAGGACCCAGGAAATGTAAGAATTGGGGCCAATGTCTCAGGTGCCCATTTAGGGCGTTCTCATTCTCTAGGCAAAAGCTCCTGCATTTGGAAAACACTGCAAGTCGGACACACAACCAAGGACTTGTATCCTGAAGATATACAGAAGCCTCAAAACTCAGAAGTCAGAGTAGAGAGGTGTGAGGGTCTTGTGTGGGTGATGCGAGTGTTTATGGTGATAAACTTACTAAAACTCATTGAATTGTACACGTAAAGTGGGTGAGTGTTATAGTAGGTGTGTTATACCTTAATGAAGTTGTTTTTAAAATCTCAACAGTAAGAAAACTAAAACCCAATTTAAAGAGTGAGCAGAGGAGTTAAACAGACACTTCCCCAAATAAGATGTACGTAGGCAAAACCCCCAAAATCACATGAAAAGATGTTCCACAATGTTGGTTGTCAGGGAAAGCAACTTCAGAGCTAATTCAGCACTCGGCACCTACGGGGATGGTGGAGATAAACCCATAGCCCGAGCAGACAGGACCCCGAGTGGCTCTCTCGCTGCTTGCTGGTGGGGACGCAGGGTGGCCCGGCTGCTCCACAGCCCCGTCTGGCTGGGTCCAGGAGGTCCAGCAGCCATTCCCCACGCAGCCCGGTGACTCCACTCCTGGGCGCCTCTCTAGGGGAGTGAAAACTCTCGATCACACAGAATCACACAGAATCCCAAGCACCTGAGTGCTTTACCGCGGCTCTGATCACAGCTGCCCCAGACTGGTCACTACCTGAATGTGTGTCCTTCGAGGCCTGGACTTCTCACTGCTCAGCAGGGGATGGTGCACGCAGTGACCCCAGGGATCTCAAGGGCCTTATGCTGAGGGACGACAGCTGCCCGCTCTCCCGTGGCGGGCTGTGTGGTTGTGGGCGTGGCGTTCTTGAGACCAGACCCTGGGGTGGGGACCAGTCAGTGGTCGCCAGGGACTGGCTGGGAGGGAGGCGTTGGGGTGATCGAGCTCTCCTGGGTCCTCAGGACACGGATTTACACGTGTGTTAATGTTCAGAGAACGATACACAAAAAGCCAATTTTATTGTATAATTGAAAACAATGGAATTAAAAAGAAATCCTGCATTGCACAAGTTTTTACGAGCCTGTCATGTGCCCGGCACTGGGCGAACCAGTGGGAGGACCAGTTAGAGCGTCAGCGAGGGAAACAGCTCAGTCTGGCCTTGATCTGGAGCATGTGTCCTGGCTGGGGAGTGTGGCCAAGAGTCCTTCCGTCAGAAGGGGAGCCGGGATTGGCTGCTGGGGTGGGGGGGCATGTGAGCTTGAAGAAGGAACAGGAGTCAGTCGTTCATTCAACATTTATTAAGCACCTGCTGTGTGCTGAGCGCTGTCCCAGGCCCTGGGGGTAGTGCAGTGAACTTGAAGTACCGGGTTCCTGCTGTCCCAGAGCTCACACTGGAGTGGGTGAGAGGTGGACAACACACACACCAGCCAGTGAGAATTCTGGTCCCCAGGAGGGCTGGAGGAAGGCAGGGTGACTGGGGAAGGCCTGGTGGGGAGATGACACTGGGATGGAGCGTGGATGGGGTGCTGCAGCCACTGGAGGAGTGTGGGGGGTCCCTAGGGGAGGAAGGTACGGCAGTGCAGAGGCTTTGAGCTGGAAAGGATCCTGAAGTGTGTGAGGGTCTCAGAGAAGACCAGGGGGCCTGTGGGCAGGGTAGCAGAGGGCGATGGGGTGACAGTGGGGCTGAGGGGGGGCAAGATTCCTGGCACGTCCTTGTCCCCGGTGCAGGGAAGGAGACTGGCCGGAGTCACACTGTTTGAAGCCCTGCTGCTGGGGCTCCCTGTAGGTCCTCCGAGGCCTTAAGTGAGGGCAGCCCCGGCTCCCGTCCTGTTCTCCCCTGGCTGTGGCTGTTTGACAGGGTGGATGGCCGAGGGACTCAGGTCCTCTCACTGCATGACCCTGTGGCCCTGGGGCACACAGAGCAGCCTAGGGCCCCTCAGAAGGCGTGTGGGTCTGGAAGAGGGGAGGCAGGAAGAGCCCCACGGTCCCGAGCACACACACGACCACAAACACCCACAGGAAGAGCCTGTCCACCACCACGGCCACGTACTTCCAGTCCTCGACGACCTGTGGGCAGACAGCAGCTGTTATGGGCGCCCGAGCTCCCTGCTCTCCTTCCTCCCCCCGTGCGGTGCTGTCGCTGTGGGGCCAGGGCGCCCTCAGGCTGGTGTGGACCCCCCGTCGCCACCCGCAGCATCACAGGACCCCTGCTCCCCAGCATTGTTGCCCCCCCCCCCCCCCCCCAGAGTTTAAGGCCCCCCCCCCCCCCAGCTCCGTGGGCACGAGGCAGGACAGGACGCTGGTAACAGCAACACCAGGAACTCTGGGCAGTGTGGCTGGAGAACCATGCCACAGCGAGGCCCCTTCTCTCATTTTCAGCCCCAGCCTCCTGCCTGAGCTCTGCCCGAAGGAAGATCCGGGGTCCACCTCGCTGTGGGGGGGCAGGACATCCCCAGCTGCGGAATCTGCTTGGTTTCCTAACACTGTGGGCAGAGACCAGCCTCCCTGGCCCCCCACTGCCCAGAGCCACTGTGGGCACCCTGGCTTGTCGTCCCCCACCCAGGCCCCTGTGACCTCTCTCTCTGTGCTCCTCGCTGGACAGTGGCCCGACCCAAACTCAGCAGAGGCTCTGGGCTTGCAAATTTGGGCAGCGGCAGACGAGCTGACGTCAGTGACCCAGTTTGTCGGGGCCCTTCCAGAGCGATCCTGTGTCAGGCCCCCTGCTCCTGGCACCGGGATCGGCAGGCCCCGAGCAGCATGCCCCGTGCGGCCTCTGCTTGGCTCTCTGGCATTTCGTTTCAGAGGACCGTATCTTTGGTGTGTCTTTGCCCCTCTTTTTATACTTGTGTGCTATTTACAGCTTAATCCCGCGGTGGGGGAGGGGAGCGCAGGTATTGGAGCTGAGCCGCAGCCTGGGCTGGCAGAGGGGTAGCCGTGCTCCGAGGGGGACACGCTGGGCTCTAGGAGGGCGGCTGGCAAGTGCTGGGGGCAGGCGAGGCAGCGTGGACACGCGTGGCTTGGCCTGGGGCCAGGCAGCACCGTCTCTGAGCCTTGGCTCCCCGATGTGCAGTGGGTTTGCATCGGTAGGTGCCTCTTGCCGCAGTTCCTGGGGTCTTGGCCTGGAGGTAGGCCTGGACCTGGCGGAGCACCCGGTGTGTGCTTGGAGTTCTGGGAAACGGTGATCACAATAACGGGGGATCCTGCCTAGCTTTTATTTAATTGCATCAGAAACGGGGAGAGGCCTGTGAGTGCCCAAGCGGGACCTTTAGAGGAGGGCGCTGGGGGCAGGGGGCCGCTCGGCCAGGAGCACGGACAGCAGGCTTCTCAGTGGCATGTGCTCGTGCAGCCTGGGGGTCCGGGTTTCAGTGTGGGCTTGGGGGGGCCTCCCGGAGAGCCCCGGGCGTGCTCCGACGTGGCCCTGGTGGCCCCAGAGCCGGACCAGGAACGGTCACTCAGAGATTCCCTGGAGCCCTGGGGCCCCACACTGCATTTCAGCATCTGGGACCCGGTGGCCGAGCTGACCCAAGCGGCTGGCTTGTTTTCAAAGCAAGCACAATCCTGAGCGTCTTTGAGAACGCGAGATCGGAGGGTCCCCGAGAGCCATGCTCCTCGCTCCTGGAGCTGGAATGTGTCCTGGAGTCCGCTACAGACGCAGACCCTGAGTCCTGAGGGGCCAGGCTGGGGCTGCAGTGCTACTGGCAGGCGGGCGTGTGGCCCCCCAGGAGCTCCGGTCCCGCCACCCGTCGGTCACGTGCTCTCCCTCTGAGGGTGAAGCGGGAGCTTCCGTGGCCTCCCGTTCCTCCAGGCCAGGCACCGGAAATGAGGGCGCGAGCGAGACCGTGCCCTCCTTTCCTCCCGGCAGGCCGCCATGGGGACAGAGCCGGTCTGTGAGGTGCTGGAAGGAGAGCACATGTGACCCCATGACACAGCCATCCTGGCCAATGTGGACGTGTGCAGGGACGTCTCCAGGCTGGGCCTTCCTGCTCCTGCGAGACCCAGGAGACCCTCCACGTTCGCGCCCCTGGCTTTGTCCTGTGACAGTAAATGTCGCCTCTGTTTACAGACCTGTCAGCGATCCCACTCCACGTCATGACCCTGCGAGCAAAGACGATCTAACTGCCGGTTCCGTACTCCCCAAAGCTGTCCTGTTCTGAGCCGGGGGGAGGTGAGGGGCAGATACCCTCAGTACCTTCCCCAGCCTTGTCCCCAAGACTGGGGTCATCTTCTCTCCCAGTGACAGCCACCAGCTAGGGTTGCCTGGGGCTCCTCCCTCCTCTGTCCCATCAAGAGGCTGGATGTGCTGGAGTGACCGCCTGGATTCCCTCTGTCCTGGGGGTGGGAGCCGAGGGCTGTGGGCTCCCCTAGACCCTCAGAACCCCCAGAGCCTGAGGCAGTCACAGGCAGCCTGCTCTGCCTTCCTGGTGACCCCTGCATCCTCCCTGAGCTCGCTCCACAGGTGACCGGCTTGTGCCTGGGCCTTGCCTCAGGGCTGCTTTTGGGGACCCCAAGACAAACCCAAAGGGATCCTTGTACCTCCATCCTCCTCCCTAATGTCCGGAGCTGCACTGAGACTCGGCTCAGTTTTGGGCTTCGCACTCCACCCCAGGGTCTAGGCGCTGTGTCCCTGGGAGTGAGCTGTGGGTGGGGGGACGGGCATGGGGGGACGGGGACAAGGGGACTTACGCTCTGGTCTTGGTCGTCACTCTGCATGTGCTGGGCAATGAAGCTGACGCCCTCCAGAGCCTCCTGCACGTCCCGCCGGCCCCTCCCCGACGACCTCAGCCAGGAATCCCGGGCCGGGCCCACTGCATCCGAACTGGAGCCAGAGGCCGAGCCCGAGCCTGCCGGGGACTTGGGGGCCACAGAGGCGGGGTTCACAAAGTACATGGAGGCCCCGTAGAGGTGGGGGGCGCCGGCGGCATCGGGCTGGGTCAGGCGAGGCCGGCCGGGCGGGGGCGTCCTCGAGGGGCCGCCGTCCGGGCGCTTCATGAAGAGGAAGGCGGGCAGCCGGTGCAGGAGGCAGCGGCGGACCCAGGGCGCCATGGTGTGCGTGCCGGGCGAGCGGTGGTGCACGTTGAGCACGCACACGCTGGTGACGATGGAGAAGGTGACGAGCACCATGGTGAACATGAGGTACTTGCCGACGAGCGGCACATCCAGGGAGGTGGGCGGCACGATCTTGGAGATGAGCAGCAGGAAGACGGTGAGCGCCAGCAGCACGGAGATGCACAGCGTCATCTTCTCGCCGCAGTCGGACGGCAGGTAGAAGACGAGCACGGCCAGCGAGGTGATGAGCACGCACGGGATGATGAGGTTGATGGTGTAGAAGAGTGGCTTGCGGCGGATGACGAAGTCGTAGGTCACGTCCACGTAGCTGGGGTCCTGTGGGTTCACAGTCCGCCGGCCGGGCAGCGCCACGATGTCCCACTCGCCGCTGGGGGTGAAGTCGTCCATGCTGGCCGTGGGCGACCGGAGCACCATGTCGATCTCCGTGTGGTCGTAGGTCCAGGAGCGGAACTTGAGGGTGCAGTTCTGCTGGTCGAATGGGAAGTGCTTCACCTCGATCTTGCAGGCGCTCTTGTAGATGGCGGGCGGCAGCCAGAAGACGCTGCCGTTGGCGCGCACCACCACGTTGGTGTAGAGGGACACCTCGTAGGTCCCGTCAGCACTGGGGGCGTGGACAGGAGGACGTGGCGAGCTGGCCTGCCGGCCCTCCTCCCGCCCCGGGCGCCCTCCCTGGAAAGGCCCGCTTCCCGTGGCAGCCGCGTGGCACAGGGCGCCCCTCACGTGGACGAGCTCCCGTGGGCCGCACCGTCATTCGACGTGGGCTTTATCACGATCCCCGTTTTTCAGACGGGGAAACTGAGGCTCAGAGAAGTTAAGTGATTTCTTCAAGGTCAGAAAACCAGGGAGCAGTCCCGGTGAGGACCTGAACTTGGTTTGTGCTTCTGCCGGGAGCACTGTGACCCCACGGGACCCTCGAGCTCCCTCCACCCCCCAGAGAGCGATGAGAGCATCGAGGCCAGCAAGACAAGGGGGGAGGCCAGAAGGAGCACCAGATTCGGGGTTAGGATGGTGGCCCTGGGCCCTGCTGTGCCCAAATGAGCAGGTGACGCTCTCCCGCATTCTCCCGGACTCAGCCCCCCCCCCCCCCCCCCCCCCCCCCCCCCCCCGGCGCGCGCCCCCCCCCCCCCCCCCCCCCCGCCCCCCCCCGGCCCCGCCCCCCCCCCCCCCCCCCCCGCCCATGGAGGTGCTGGCTCTGCCCACCTCCTCTGCCAGCCTGACTGCCTGGAGTGACACACGGATGAGGCCCAGGGCTGGGCTCCGGCCAAGCACCTGCAGTGGCTAGGCCTGCCGCCCGCCCGGCCGTCCCCTCCTGCTCCCCACTCACTTGTTGTAGAGCACGATGTCCGGGAGCCAGATGCGCTTGGCCGGGATCCTCAGGATGTTCACACCCTCGTAGTGGGAGCTGTTCCAGGCCAGGCGGTAGTCGGTCCACTCCTGGGCGGACAGGCATGGCCTGGTCACTCGGGGGCCCGCAGCCACCCAGGGGAGGGGGCGGCCCCAGAGATGCCTCTCTGGCGGGACCCCGCGGGCAGTTACCTGTTTCAGCCAGACGTTGGTGGTCATGATCTGTTCTCGCTCATTCTGGGGAGGGAGACGGGGATATCCGTTTACCGGGTGGGAGGAGCCTTGGGCACAGACCCCGCGGAGTCACACAGAAGGCTGGGGGCTCAGGCCCCCGTGCCCAGCCGCTGACCCACCATTTCCAGGATGGCTCAGAGCTCTTTCCCTCCCCGCGTGTCTGGGACAAATCTTGTGCTTGTCACCCAGATCCGGTCCTCTGCTGGCATTCCCTCCCCAGCCATGCAGCTCCACTGGCCGGAAACCTGGGGACTGGCTCTGACATGACGCGCCGTTCTTTGAGCCCCCCGGGAGTCCTGTAGGTGGACCCCCCACCCCCACCCCTGCGTGCATCTCCCACTTGCTGCTCCTGTTTCGGCTGCCGGCAGCATCCACCAGCTGGATGACCACAGTCGCCTCCCCTCTGATCCTCCTCCTCCCTGCGGGTCCTCCTCTCTGCCCCAGGCCTCCTCATCCCTGCCCTCGCTGTCTCTACTCTGCAGCCAGGGTATCCTTTCAAAGGCTTTTCTCAACTTCCCAGACTGTGCTGCTCTGCTGCAACCCCCCACGCCTTCCCTGTGTCCCCAGCATCCCTCCTCTGTCCTCCCCATCAGCTCTCGAACCCCACATCCGTCATGGACCATGTTACAGTCTCCTCTGCATTTTCCATCCTCTTTCCTGTCGTCTGTGTGGACATTTTCTGTTGACCTCTCTTCCAGACCATTAACCTTCTCTTTTGCTGTAACTAATCTGCTGTTAGCCCCATCCAACGAACTTTAAATTTTCCATCATCGTAATTGTCTCGAACGTACAGATGGCTGTTACTTTCCTTTTAAGAAAATTTATTTATTCAGAAAAACCTATTAAAATTCTTTATTATTTATTTTTAATCGTGCTAAAGGGCCCATAACATAAAATGGGCCACGTTAATGGCACTTGCTGTGGAATCTTCCATCATCCCGCATGGAAACCCTCTGTGCGTCTGCTTCCATTGTTTGCTGTTCTCGCCTCATCCTGTCTTACTGTGCACCCAGGGACTCCTGTCTGCCTCCACAGCCCCCCAGGAGTGACAGGCAGTTATAGGGGGGCAGACCCCCTTCATCTAGTCCATGAGCTGGTTCTGTTGTTCTTGACTCATTTCTATTTTTATGGGTGGTCTTTTCAGGGCCCCCCATCCTGTGGGGCTCGAACGCTGGTGTGTGTCCCCCAGTCCTGCGCCAGTGCCCGACGCTCGGCGGGACCCCCGCTGGCACCAGCGCGCTGCCCCCAGGTCCTTGGCCCCTCCATCTCTTCCCATGCACCCGCCATCGCATTTGGGGAAAGGTGCCGTAGACAGAGGGTCCCCTCCCAGAACCTGGTCCCTTGAGTCCCGGCTGAGCTCTCCGAGATGGTTGGAGATTCCCGGGGCATTTTGTTCCCGCTTTTCTGGTTGTTCTCACGGAAAAGCTAATTTGCAGAGCTGAAGGCCTGCATCTGTCCGTAGAAACATTTTTTTAAAGTTGCGGTAAAATTTACACAGAGACACATAGGTCTTAAGCGAATGGTTTGATCTACTTGAGCAAACCTGTTACCCCACGGCCCCTCCGTTCAGGATCTGTCACTTAGGAACCTTCCTGTGTGTCAGTTCTGTCCGTCCCCAGCGGTGCCCCGACCAGCGGGACCAGTGGGCACGCAGCAGGCAGGCTCGCCCAGCGAGGAAGGGGCATGAGGCGCAGACTGCATTCCGGGACCAAAGAGTCACGGCACAGAGGCAGTCGGGCCCCCAGTTTCGGCGACTTGTGGTTGTACGCACATGGGAAAGGAGTAGACGAGTGGCCTGACCGTGTCCAGAAGCCTGGGCCAAGCCAGAGGCGCGCCCAGCCCCGTGCTCCAGCCCTGCGCTCCAGCCCCGTGGCCCGGATGGGCCGCCAGCACCTACCACGCTGATGAGCTGGGCCAGGGACAGCTGCAGCTGGATGGAGACGAGCTGGGCAGAGCTGGCGGCCGGCCGGATGAGGTTATTGTAGCGTGTCCTGTTCAGAAGGTCGTCCACGAGCCTCTCCTCCGCATTGGCCATGCGGCAGTCCCCTGGGGAGACACAGGCAGACCCGATGGGCCCTCACTGCCGGCTGCGAAGGGGCAAGTGGGGCGCGGCACACAGGGCCAGGGGCGGCGGGAGTAGCGAAGGGGGACTGGGCCCGCTCCGTGTGACCGAGGCAGAGCCGAGCTCCGTCCTGCCCCGCGCTGCCCCTTCTTACCCCCTCCCCTATGCCCGCTAGGCTGAAGGGAGCCCACACGCAGACACTGCGTTCAGAAGTGGGGTGCCTGCTGGTCTCTCTGTGCTCCGAGTCCGTCCGACCATCCTCCCACCCACCCCCGCAGCCCTCGTCGTGGTGCCCCGCCCGACTCTGCCCAGCCACCACGTGCCACACAGTGCGACAGTGGCCGTGGCCTCACTGGGGCCTTCCCTGCCTGCAGCTTTCAGAGCCGGTGGGAGAGAGAGCCCTTGGGCCCTGGCACCAGCCTGCTCTCCTCAAGCTGAAGCTTCCGGTCCCCCAGACGGTCAGCACTCTGCTCCTGAATCCCTCTCCCCGCCCCGTCTTTACTGTCTTGCTTCTGAGTCTCTGAGAGCACTCTCTCTCCTGCCAGCATGGCCCCACGGCCACCAGCCGTCAGATGGCCATCTGCCTTGTGCCAGGCGCTGTGTTAGGTCTCAGGGATGACAGCGAGCAGAACCCCAGAAGGGACCCCTGCCTCCGTTTCCATCCGGTGTGGTGGCGGAGGACTGTCACCATGGGTTTTGTGGGCGGAGTGGGGTGGAGGGTGCTGTGTTCATGGGGAGAGAACAGACTGGCCATGGGGAATTTCCTGAGTTGAGAGCTTCAGACTGCGAAGGGCCTTTGGGACCCCCAATGCTGGGGTCCAGGCTGACAGGTGGCTCCGGGTGCAAAGCTTAGAGGAGAGGGGTGGGCTCAGGGCCGTGATGAGCATAGGCCCCCTGAGCTCCCACAGGCCTGGCCATCTTGCCCAGCGGGATGTGGGTCTTGGCCCCATCCCCTTCACACGTCTGGGAGTGACCGTGAGGTACAGGGACCCGGTCTTGTTTAGCTGGTGTCTTGGGAGAATGAGTCTGCTGAGGGCCGAGGTGGGGTGGCGTCTTGGAAGGAGACTCTGGGGAAGATCAAGGTCGCTTGGCAGGAAAGCCCAGCAGCAGGGGAGGGGAGGTTAGGGCAGCGGGTATGGGGCAGGAGAGCGGGGCACGAAGAGCAGATAGGACCAGAGCAGGGGCCAAGGCTGCTGAGGGGTTGGGGGTGGGGCTGCGGGGGAGGGGCTGGGCCTTGTGGGGCATGGGGTTCCCATGATGTCCTTCCCTGAGGGGTCCTTCCCCGACGGGCCTGTGCATGGCTTTTTGCCAAATCCCTCCCTCTGGGTGGGGCCAGAGAGTTCGGAATGGCCCTGAAGGGGGTCTGAAGTGGCCCCCTGTGTGGGTGCTGAGCCACCAGCCGGCTCTGTGCACTTTCCAACTCGCTGCCTATCTGGAGCAGATGCGATCCTGAGTGCCTTGCACACGAGGCTCCCGGCACACCTGCTACCCGCTGCCCCTCCCCCGACTGCCTGGGGCTGCCCACAGGGGTCCTCTGGATGCCTGTCCTAGATTCTGAGTTCTGCCTCTGTACCCCGACCCCTCCCAGAGGCCAGCTGTTAGAATTCTCTGGAAGCCAGCCTGTGGCTCCGGACTAGAGCCGGGTCCCTCCCACAGCCCCTCTCCAGTGCAGGTATTTTGGCAGAAAGTGGGTCATGTCCCTCGACCCAGCCCCTCTGGCATTTCTGAGGCCAGGGCAGCTCCTGGTGCTCTAGGACAGGGGAAGCCCGGAGCCCCCATCCCTGCAGCCCCGTTACACTCAGGCTGCTCACCTTTTGGCTGTCCTGCCTCCTGGGCATTCAGCCGGCCTGAGGGACCCTCCCTGTGCCGAGGACAGGCTGTGGGCTCCAGAGTTAGGGGTCCTGAAAACCTCAGACTGTTTTGCGCGTTCCCTGTTTCTTACCCGGGAAACTAAGACCCAAGAGGGAAGGAACTTACTCGAGGAGCCCCAGTAGGTCAGAGACAGGCCCTCCCGGACCCCAGTGCCTTCTGTCCTGCCCTTGCTAATGTCCCCAAAAGGAGACTGTCCTGCAGAGTCCGTACCGTTACCAAAGCCAAGTGTGTCCCCATTGTTGCCTGCTTGCGCTTGTATGTGTGTGTGGTGGGGTGGGGGTGGGGGTGGGACTGGCCAGCCCTGCTGCTGTGGGCTCTAATGGTCTCCCGTCCCCGCCGAAAAGGCAGCGGGAGCTCAGAATAACGCACAGTGGTTGCTTTCTGCCTGTGAGGCCTGCTGGGTTCCAAAGATAAGGGCCTGTCACCTCTCCATGACAAGGGTGCCTCAGAATGGGAGGAGCCTCCTGCAGGCATTTCGGTTCCCGTCCCAGCCCTGGGGTCAACACAGTCCAACAGAGAGGCCACCACTAGGGGTCAGTCATGACCCAGTGACTCTGAGGAGTTGTGGGTCTGTGCCTCCTCTGTCCAGGCCTGGGCAGGCCTTCCTAGGTCTTCTCTGGAAAACCAGCTCCGGGGGCAGTAAGGGGTGGACACCTGAGAGGAAGCCACAGCTCGAGGCCTCCACTGTGCTGTGTGTCCAGGTCGGCAAAGTGTGATCTGAAAATGTGATACTGGAAAAGTGAAGAGGTGTTCGCTCTGGTTTGGAGCACAAACCGCAGAAGGTAAAGACGACAGAATCCCCCGGCAGGGCGGCTTCCGGAAAGCGGAGTGATTGTCAGTTTGGGGCGAGTGTCCTTAACTGAGGAAAGGGACAGGGCATTTGTGTTTATTAAAGGCAGCTCTGGATTTTTTTTAAGGTTGAGATTTTTACTTTTTACAAAAATCTCCTCACAGGTCACCAGTCATGTGTAAGAATCACCCCTGTGCTTGGGTAAACGCAGGTGCCCAGGCTCTGTTTCTGGAGAGTCTGGTCCCATGAGGCTGAGAGTTTGTGCGGGGTAATCCTGAGCCCTGATGCAGGCGGCCGGGGACCACACTTAAACACTGCAGCGGACTCACGTCTGAGTCCCCAGGGACGTAGGCAGGACATACCGTTCCTATAGAATAGACGGGGAAACTGAGGCCTGAGAGAGGAGAGAAATGGCAGGGGCCACCTGGCAAGTGGTGACAGAGCCAGGACGCACACAGTATGGGAACACCGTCTTTGGTGAGAGCGTCATTTCCCTCTAGGAACTTGTGTGTCCTCGAAGTCCTGCCTCCGGCACCCCCAGTGGTGTGTCCTGTCCGAGGAAGATGTAGTCCTGCCTGGTCTTCTGCGCCAAGCAGGGCTCAGAGGACAAGCTTGGGCCAGACAGTAGGAGCTAAGAGTCCTTGGAATCGGGGTGGAACTGAGGCCGGGAGAAGGCACTCCTCATCGCATCCGGACTCTGCCTGGGAAGGGCCAGTGGGGTCTCCCTTCCAGGAGTCAGGTACTGGCGCTTCATCTCCATGGCCTGACCCTCAGCCACCCTGTCTGTCCCAGCCAGCCCAGCCCCAGCGGTGGGTGACCAGAGACAGCGGTGTCTTAGAGTGTTTCTTAGGGGACCGCCCCACACCGCAAACCACCCCGGGTCTGGCGATTTGGGCCAGCCCCTTCCCGTCCCGGCTGAGCTTCCCCGATCTCTTGCAGCCCCGAGCCCTCTCTCCCGGGGCCGAGCGGCGGGGGTGCTCCCGGGCGTCCACACCTGGCAGGTGAGGAGCCTGTAGCCTCCTGACGTCGGTGTCCCGCAGACTCCCTTCGCGCGGGTGCGGAGCCCAGAGGTCGAGGCTGCCCCGGCAGGTGCGCAGGGAGGAGAGGCCGTCCCCACCCCAAACCCTGGAGTCCCGCCGCCCTAGCCCGCCCCCGGGGCCTAGGCCAGTGGACTCACCCTGCCCACACCCGTCCGGCCGGGACACGCTCCGGCCATCCCCCGGGCGCGGCGCCCCCCCCCCACCTGTGGCCGCTGCTGCCCGGCGGCGCGACAGGAGCCCCTCCCTCGTGTCCCGAAAAGAACTCACCGCGCCGGCAAAGGGCAACCAGGGAGAAAAGGACGAGGGGCTGCGCAGTCCTCATGGCGGGCGGGGGCCGCAGAGGCAGCCGCGGCGAGCCCAGCGGTGGGAGCAGCCCGGCGCCCGCGAGCAGCGAGCGGGCGGAGAGCGCGGGCGTGGGCCTTGGAGTCTGACCGCGGCGCGGACGGGCGCTAGGGCTCCGCGGGAGGGCCCGGCGGGGGCGGCCGTCCTGAGCCCCGCCCACTCGGGGAGGGGCGGGGCCGGCTGGCTCGGGGACCCGCTGCCGCTGGCTGTCGCCCCCACCCGGCTCCCACCTGCTCCCGCTGCGCCCGCCCCGCCCTCGGATGGGGACGCGCGGAGACGCTGGCGCAGGGTCCCCGCACTGGTCGGGCACGTAGCTGTGCCCCGGGAAGGGTCCGTACCCTGGGGTTTGCCGAATGAAAGGGGCTTCGCCGGGAGTAGGAAGCGAGACAGACGGAGTGGGGCTAGGCTCTCTGCAGACAAGGGATGGCACTGGGGACGGTGACCAGCTCAGGGTCTCCTGACCCAGCTTGGGGAACTGCGGGAGCCAGCAGAGTGGAAGGGATTGGGTGGGGCCTGGAGTAGGCTGCATGTACCCTCCTCTCCCCTTCCCCACCTTGGCCTTGCTACCTGGGCGGATCAGGGTGGTGGGGGAGGGGTGGTGCTGCTCAGGTGACTCAAGGGGGCGCGCAGGCCCTCCTCCAGCCCGGTGGTCCTACCCAGGTGTTGGGGTCAGTACTATTTCCCTGGGGGCTGGGGACCTCCCTGGACAGGTATCAGCACTGGGCAGGGCATCCCTGTTTAGGGATCTGGCCAGAGCCTGTCCCTCCAGCTCCACTCCTCCTCCCCTGTGGATTACTGGAGAAACCAAGCAGAGGGCACGATCTGGGGGCGTGATCACCTTCTTCCCAGGATTCTCAGTCTTGCTCTCATATCGCCTCCCTTAGCATCTTTTTGCTACAATCTGATATGTCTGCGTAGATCTTTTTTTAAAAGAACTCTGTTGACTTTTGTTTTAGGATGCTTTGGAGAAGTTAGGTTCCAGGGGGTCCCCTCTTCTCCACTGCAACAATAAAAAGGGGGAATACATATAGTAAATTAAAGTTACAGACACGCTGAAAAACAAAATCTCCATGAATCAGAATCAGAGAAGAAATCCCGAGTGCGGGGCGGGTGGGGGGGGGGCGCTGAAGTTTGGAGCCTGCTGGGCCAGAAGCCAAAGGCTGGGGCAGGTCCTTTGGGATAAAGAGGGACTAAACTCGACCAGGAGCTGGGCATTTGCATGGACCTTGGTCCCTGAAAGGAAGCTGGCAGGGGAGGCCTGCTGCTGGTCTGCTGTCTGGAGTCCTAGCTTTATGGGGTGCATGTTTTCCCTGATAAACCAGAGGATGGAGCTTAAAAATGCCCTCCTAGAAGCAGCCACCAAACTGTAAGTTAGGTGAGCACAGGTGCGAGGGCGGGAGGACAGCGAGGGAGAGAATACAACACCCGTTCAAAACCGCCTACAGCTGTGCCAGAAAGGAAGGGAAGGGCTTGGAGGATGATGGGGACAGGACAGAGGGACACGCGGGCCATCTTGAAGGGGCGCCACCAACCACATCTGGGGCAATTTGAGCATTAAAGTAATGCTCGTCAGTGATGAACCCTCACTGAATACAATAAACTAAGCATATATCAGAGTAAATGGAAGTTTGGTAAGAAAAGGGTTACCTACAGAGTTTCAAAGTACCTTCCCACAAAATAGTTATTAATTACAAGGGGATAAAGAGTTATCTCTCCGAGGGTGAAGCTTGGCAGGTGCCACCCACAGTAGGCTGAAGGATGACCCCCAAGGGTGTCCACATCCTCCGGTCAGAGCCTCTCAGTGTTATCCTATATAGTGAAAGGGACTTTGCAGTAGTGATTAAATGAAGGCAGTTGGCATGGGTAGGTTCTTCTGGTGGGCATGCTGCGGTCACAGGGGTCCTGGGTCCTTACCTAAGGGAGGCAGGGGTCCTGGTGGGGTGGGGTGATATGAAAAGGGAGGCAGGGGCGCCTGGGTGGCTCAGTGGGTTAAGCCTCTGCTTTCGGCTCGGGTCATGATCTCGGGGTCCTGGGATCGAGCCCCGCATCGGGCTCTCTGCTCAGCGGTGAGCCTGCTTCCCCCTCTCTCTGCCTGCTTCTCTGCCTACTTGTGATCTCTCTCTCTCTCTGTCAAATGAATGAATAAAATTTAAAAAAAAAAAAAAAAGAAAGAAAAGGGAGGCAGAGGTTGGAGTGAGGCAGCCTCCCGAAGCTGGAAGAGGCAGGGAATGGATTCTCTTTCTGAACCTTCAGCAGAAACTAGTCCTGCCGATAACCTTGGTTTCATCCATGTCACACCCATGTCAGACTTCTGATTGCTAGACCTATAAGAGAAGAAAACTTACGTTGTGTTCTTTCAGGCCACTCCATTTGTAGTCATTTGTTACAGCCTAAGTAGGAAGCTAGTAGACCGCCTTAACCACGAGGTCGACAGTAACTCCATCAGGAATGGGGGAGATCCAAAGGGCATAGGACCTGGTGGGACGTGGCAGGAAGAACTCGGATCCTTCTGGGATAGTCCTGCCAAAGATGTAGGACTCGAACTGAGCCACGAGGGTACGTCGGATACACCAAAATTATGGATATTCTACAGAATAACTGGTCTGTTTTCTTCAAAAACATCAAGGTTATGAAAGCGAAGAAGACTGACGAGACATCCCAAGTAAAGGCAACACATGGTCCTGCAGTGGGTCCTTTTGCTGTTGGGACATTGTTGGGACGACCGGCCAAACTTGAACGGGGCCCAAGGGGTGGATGGTAGTAATACATGGGTGTTCACTTCTGCTTTGAGGGCTGTATTTTCGTGTTACCAGAGAATATCTTGCCGAAACCGTACACGAAAGTACCAGAGATGATGGGGCGTGATGTGTTGTAAGCATAATCAGTTGATGCAGCGAGAAGGAGGGCTTTTTAGGGTACTCGCAGCTTTTCTCCAAATTTGAGCTTTAAAAAAAGGCAGAATGAGCATTCAAACCAAGATTTGACATAGGACTGGGAAAAGATAGCCAGCAAAATGAAGAAATGAGCACATTCACTGCAGGCGAAAACAATTTTTATAGAAATGTGATAAATATTTCTTAAAAAGAAAGGAAAAAGAGAAAACACCGTGGAACCTATTTGCTGAGGAAACTAATCGAGAAGTAGAGCACCCAAGAAAAGAGCAGAATCTGAATGCCCGTCTTTGCCCTGGGGGACATTGGAGGGGGCAGAGTAGTGGTTAGTGCATAGGGCTTCTGAGTCAGGCGGTCTGGATTTGTATCCGTGTCACTATTCACATTCTCTGCGACCTTGGGGAAGTAACTTGACTTTTCCGTGCCCCTATTCTCTCATATTTCAAAGGAGGAAATAGCCTTCATGCTAAGCTTTCTAGATTGAAATGAAACAATTAATGGAAACGCCTTAATGGTGCCTCGAACATACAAATCACCTGATATATGTGAGCTGCTATTAGCTATTAAGAATCAAAAATTCTAATAAGCTAATACCAAATTGAATCGCCAGTGTGCACAAACAAATACTGTATCATGATAAAGCAGGGTTTATTCCAAGGACACAAGAGTGAGTCAACATCAGATACTCACTAATGGGATATGCTTACCCTAACAGATGACTCATTCAGTGCAAACTATTAGCCTGCTAGCTTCCTTGACCCAGTAAACATGTAGCAGTGATCATACTTAATGGTAGAACTTCAGAAGCAGTTTTCAGTGAAGTCAGGACTTAGACAAAGGTGCTTCCTAGCATGGTTTCTAGTCAGTATTGCACTGAAGGTCCTAGGGAAGGTAGGTTAAATTATATTGACTTGGGAATGTTTTAAGGGAATATAGGTTAAATTATATTAATGTTGTTTTAGGTCACAGACTTCTTCACATCAGCAATTTATAGATCCAATCTGTAAAAGAAAGAAAGAAAAGAAGTAAACCCTAAGAATTGGAAAGGAAAATTATCCCTATTTGCAGATGATATGATTGTGTAGAAAATCCAACGGAATATAGAAAATCCAAGAGATAAATTGTTAGGGTTAGTAGGAGAGTAGGGTTGCTGAATTCAAGGTCGACTGTAAAAAAATTACTAGCATTCATATACAGGAGTGATACCAAATTAGAAAATGTAACAGAAAAAAATATTCTATTCAAAATAGCAAAATACCCCAAGAGTACGTCTGAGAAAAGATAAAGAAGAGCATTCATGAAGAATGGGATAAAAATCACTCAGGGATTTGCAGGAAGATCTAACTGGAAATGTACAAATTTCTGAATGGGGGACTCAAATTACAAACACATCACTTCTCACCACATTTATACATGTGATGCATTTCCCACGCAAATCCCAATGGAATTCTCCATGGAACTCACTAAGAGGTGTTTATTACTCAGACACAACGCTGTAGAAGTTAAGACAGGGGAGTGCTGTCGAGAGGGTTAACAAATAGACCCATAGCCCCGGAAACTTGAAACGAGACAGAGGTCGCCTTATACATCAGTGGAAAAAGGGCAGAATATTCTGTGTGGGGCGCTGGGATGGGGGGTTCCCCTTAGGGAAAGTAAATACACTTAGATCGCCAGCTCACATCTTATCAGAGATAAACTCCAGGCTGATTAAATATCTAGTTGTGAAATGGAAAAACGTGAAAACCTTTGAGAAGGACATGGAAGAGGGCATCAGTGTGGCTGAGGAGGGGTCTCCGTCTTGGCAGCTGTGAGAGGACTGAGTGGCTTCGATAAAGCACCGTTTATTGATAAACTTCTGTTTCTTCGCAGTGACAGAGGCTGCAAGTCTGAGATCAGGGAGCCAGCCTGGTGGCTTCTTGGTGACAGCTCTTTCTAGGGAAGCCCCCTTCTCTTTGTGTCCTCACATGGTGGAGCAGAGAAAGGGAGGGAGCAAGTGCTCTCTTGTCTCTTCTCATATGGACACTGGTCCCAGTCACAGTGGCCCCACCCTCCTGACCTGTCACCTCCCAGAGGACCCCTCCTAACACCA